AACTTTTCATGGCCCATGTTCCAAATGGATGTCAAGAATGCTTTCCTCAATGGTGATTTACGTTAGGAAGTGTATATGGAGTTGTCCCCTTGTTTCTATGATGTAGATACAGGCAAGAAAGTTGCAGACTCAAGAAGGCATTGTATGGTTTAAAGCAATCTCTAAGGGCTTGGTTTGACATGTTTAGACTTGCTCTGGAGAAATTTGGGTATATGTAGGCTCACTCAGACCACACACTTTTAATCAAGAGGGGTGGTTCCTCTTTGACACTACTTGCTGTGTATGTAGATGATGTTGTGGTAATAGGCAATGACGTTGATGACAAGATCATGTATCAATGGTTGGTTGGAAACTTCTGTATCTTTGTCTGACTTGGCCTGACATTTCTTATGCTGTCAATGTTGTTATTCAGTACATGCACACTCCAAGAACCACTCATTTGTTGGCAGTTAACATATCTCAAAAGGTGTCCAAGTCGTGGAATACTCTTTAAGAATAATGGTCATATGAAGATTGAGCTATACATTGATGCGGATTGGGCTGGATGTGTAGATGACAGGAGGTCTACCTATGGGTACTATGCCTTTGTTGGAGGAAATCTGGTTTCATGGCGAAGTAAGAAACAAAATGTTGTAACTTGTTCAAGTGCTGAAGCAGAATACAGATCTATGGCTCATGGAGTGGCATAAGTTCTATGGCTGAGATCCTTACTCGAAGAACTTGGAATTAAGCATGAAAAACCCTTAATGTTGTATTGTGACAATCAAACTGCTATTAATATTGCCTGTAACCCAATACAACATGACAAGACTAAACACATTGATCTCTGATATGCAACTTGCTAATCTCTTTGTTAGATAGTGTATGCCCTTAGCTCCAATCAGATTGATGTATAGATACGTTTATTGTAAATGAATAAAAGTACATTATTGTTTCATGTTGATATTGGTATGTTTCTGTGGAATTACCCCTTAAACTGGGCACTTATGAGACTTGTGTTAATTTAGAATGTTTTCAGCTGTTGGATAGACTTGGGGAGTTCATCCTGCCAAGGCTGACACTAATGTGTTGCTAAAGAAGTTGCGGTAGCTTGTCTCAACTGCTAGGGTTAGACCCAAAGCACATGCAGTGTGTGTTTGGATGAAACACTGAACTCAGACCATTTTCCAGTTATGCTCTGACCTTGGAGATTGATGGGAAAAACTGGAAAGTTACACAATCCATAAACTTGATTATGGTAATGCACTAGGTGTTGGATTGGGCTGTCTTTGATATGCTAATCAGCGAGATCTATCAAGGGTCAAAACTTAGGTATGTTGGGGCAGTCTGAGAAGTCATTTGAGTGGGTGATCATAGTGATAGGATTGGCCCCTTTGTCAGACAAAGTGAATGATAGGGCGGGCTTACACTCTCTCTGATGGAAACTTAAATTGCTGGTAGTGTATTTCAAATGTGTTTGAGATTTGGTTTTGCAAAATATATTTATATGATATATATATTAATGTTTTATGAAAAACTTTTGCAAAAGGTTTTAATTCTCGGGATCCATCTGATCAGAGAGTGTGACACTGTACCTTGCAGCCAGGGGAGAGGTCCTTCCTTGTCGGGCAGTGTTGTGATCATAGTGATAGGATAGTTCCCTTTGTCAGACAAAGTAAATGATAGGGCTTACACTTTCTCTGATCGAAACCTAAACTGTTGGCAGTGTATTTCAAATGTGTTTGAGATTTGGTTTTGCAAAATACATTTATATTATATATATATATATTAATGTTTTATGACAAACTTTTGCAAAAGGTTTTATTTCCTCGGATCCATCCGAGTAGAGAGTGACATTGTACCTTGCAACTAGGGGAGAGGTCCTTCCCTGTCAAGCAGTGTTGTGATCATTATGGGCCAAGAGGTTAAGTGTAAGAGACCATTTACAAGGCTGATTACCTGATGGGCTTTATCTTACTTAAGTCCATTATCATTGGGCTTCATAGGATGGCTAAATTTAAGTGTAAATGTTTGGCCCATATTGAGGCCATAATGATGTGCTCAGGGGTTCACTGTGTTTAACAGTGAATTCGGCCAAGGCCTTTTCATAGAGGCTGGGCCGAACCTATGTGGACTTATGTGAGGTCATTGTGGGGTCCCATGCCATACAAATCGGGCCTAAGTTGGCCATGCAACATCTTGGGTTGTGAGCCTTTGAAGGAAATGGGCCTAAGTTGTCATGTGCTCTGGGTCAAATCTGGGTTTGGAAATGGGTATGGAGCACCCATCCTCTTATGAGGATAAGGCTTATCTCTTATTAGAGTCCCGATCCAAATTAGATTTGGATAATCTCCTAATTTGATTAGGAGAGTGCTCCATAAGGAGATAAAAGAAGAAGAGGACAAATCAGTCTAGAAGACCACTCTCTCTTCTTCTCTCTTCTTCTCTTTTGTCTTCCAAGAAACCATCACGACCTAGGATTTCAAGGACTGATAGAGATCAGTTTTCTTCTGATTTTTGCAAGAAAAGTTTAGAGGAATTTTAGGCTCACCTTCCTTAGTTCGATCCAAGTATTTGGGTTGCAATTTTGCTGAAAACTGTGTTGCTGAATCAACTTCACCTATACACTGCACCGTGTTCAGTGGAGGCTAGTTTTAGGACTGATTTGGGCGTGAACTTCCACCTTGGGATCTGCGTTTGAGGTACCTGTATTAGGTATAAATCTCCCTCTTTGTTTGGTTTTAAATCTGGTTTGGTTCAGTGCAAGATCGATTTAGAAAAATGCAGTTTTTCAAAACACAGGGAATTTTGCCCATCCATCTATGGATCCTAACCTTTCCAACACTCTTCACCAAGGCAGTCCCTGAAGTCAAGATGGATACAGATTTGTGCAAGTTGAGAATGCTCAATTTCTATTCCCAACTTGAGGGTGAGTGTAGAGATGTAGACAGGGATACCTAGTTGGTTCTATATGTTTGTTAGGTGCAGAAATATGCTCTTCATCCTTATTTGTTTTGTTTCAGACTGCTGTACTTAGTATTGCTCTTTGTCATAGTCGACAGGGGTATTTTTCTCATTTATATTTTTTCTCAAGTAATATAAAAGCCAATGAAGGGGGCGACAAAACCTTATTCTTTCTGCTCTCTCTTTCTCTCATTCCTTCTCCTCTCCCCTCTCTTCTTCTCTTCTTCTTTCTTCTTTCTTCTTTTCTTCTCTTGAACAGATCTCGAACTAACCTAGGACTGCTGCAGCTGTGTTTCAAGTGTGACAACTCCTCGTTGCAGATAAACAAGTGACTGACAGATAGGTTCTTTTGAACAATGAGAGCAGTGGCATTGAAATAGCACTCCCAGGTGTGCTTTCCAGCAGCCCTGCAGTAGCAATCCATAACGATGTGTCCATTAGAGACGATGTTATTAGGGTATTAACAGATTCCATTTGCTGCTATCATGCTGCAATCGACTTCAATCTGTGAGTAATTTTGTCGGATTTTTTCTTGAATCTTGTTCTTGTCCATTAAAGGCTTGATTGCCATTTCCTCTAGCTTTCCAGTTGATTCTAACATTGGAACCCCCCCCTGCCACCCCCCGGTTGTGGTTGAATGTCTCTAGATGACAAGAGACCATGTGCGAGTCCATTTGGTCAGAACATCAAGGGCTTGTTAATCCACCTACTCATTTCCCCTTGAGCAAGGTTACATTAATTTCTTTGGATCTTGYGAACATAATAGGAAAAGAATGAACAAAAGCGCAGTTTTGGGCTATTAGAATCACAATGTATCATACATAAACGATACAAGATGGAAATTAACAAAAGAGATGTTTCAGTCTTCTGATGTCACCCATTGTTTAAGCAATGTGCTGAAAATCGTAATTGTATTATAAATTGTAAGATTATTTCTGCTTTACCAACTTATCAACAAATTAAAAATAGATATACTAAAAGGCTAAGTATAAATAGGAAACTGATTTTACATTATTTTTAGTCCATATATACTATATTGGTACCTAAAGCAATAGTTGTGCAATGGAAGGCTGACATGATATAATCAACTTTGATGTGCTAGTCAAATAATCCACATACAATCACAATGATTCTTTAACCTACATATGATGGAAAATAATCTCAATATATGGTTGTAAATAATGTAAAAAATTATCATCTAGTAAGGACCTTAAAACAAGGATCCCTTGACAAAGGTAAATATAAACAAAATAATAATACCAATAATAAATGCCAAAGTAGAGAACTAATTCTTAGTTGAATTGAAATGGATCACAGTTGATCATAAGAATTGTATAAGACGTATGATTAATGAATCAAATTGTAGGATTCAAACAAAAATCCAATAAGGAATTCAGACATGAGATTCAAATCGAAATCCTTGGGATTCATCATTTAAATCATGAATTGTATAGTAAATAAGATTTGACAATATTGTGTTTAAGTCCTTTTAGAAATTTCCAGGTATGCTTTTGACCTTTTGAGAAACCTAAGGGTATGTTGAAGTCTTTTTCTGTAAAAGAACAACTGCAAACTGGCCCAGTAAGTGCCTGCCCACTTCTCAACATCCTATATGTATAAATGAGACAAAAAGTGCAACTTTTGTATCAGGTAGGAGTGCAAATCATAGTGCCAAACAAGTGTAAGCAAAACTGATTGGCGTGCAACACCCGGGTTGAATTTGCACTACAAACATAGGCAATATGCATGCATATAACAATATATTGGAAGCTTCTATTTTGAAAGATTAGATGCCTAGACAAGCAGATCAACTTTAAAACAACTTTGTGGTTGATTAGATTGACTAGTCATTAGTTGGTCAAGTTAACCTAATAATGGTTAATTGCCCAAAGCAATCACATCATGGGCAATGACTAACTAGTAAACGACTAGTCATTCTGTACTTGTTTATTAGTAATATGTTTCTCATAATTGTTTCGTATAGAAAATTTGATGGTTATATTCAAGTAGGATTTTGGTTTTCAACTGGTTTTCTTGTTCTCTCTTATTGGGTTTAGGTGGACCTACGCAGATCCATCTTGGGCTCGTATTGCAGCACTTGTTCCAGTGGTAGTATCTTGTGCAGAAGCTGGTGATCAAGTAGCGAATAAAATATTATTAGATTCAGTTGATGAACTGGCTGCAAGTGTAAAAGCTGTTGTTCGGAGACTTGAATTATGTGGTAAAGGTACACAGCCAATTTCAACTTTGGATATTCAAGAAGTGCCTATTGCCTATAGATTAAAGGCTTATATCTGATCTTTATTTGGAATACTTACATGAGCTATGATCTTTGACAGCCTGAATGCTGGCTATATATTCAACTTATATTTATTAAATGGAGTAGTGCTACGAGTTCTGTTCAACTTAAAAGATAATGGAATTAAGCATGTACATCCTTGAGCTTCAAGGTTGGTTTATCAACTTGTTATTAGCACAAACATGATCAACTGGGACAGGGTTTGCATCCGCCCCCACCGGTTTGCCCCCAAAAAACATCCCACGGACTCATAGCATGCCGCGTGTCCTCCCGCACACGAATTAGACTCTCTCGTGCGGAGTTAACCCACTTCGCCCTAAAGGTCATCCCCTCTCAGACTCTCACTCCTTTCTCTCTCTTGAATTTCATCTTCACTTGAACCTTCGACCTTCCGTTCTCAGTACTGAAACTGGCCGGAGCTTGCCCCCTTCGAGTTCCACCAGTCAACGCCGACGATCGTTCTGGCAGATTTATTTAACGGAGGTAAGTTCCGTTCTCATATCCATTTATTCTCAGTTATCATATCTGTATTTGTATATGCAGTCATTTGACACTTATTCATTGACTTGCAGGCTCATCTGATCCGATTAACCTCATCTTTGACACTTTTAATCCTCAGAATGTTTGGATTAACATTCTTGCAGCTTCAACAGCAACCTGGTCCCAGGATAGTTCATAGTCTGCACCTGTCCCTCCCTCTGCACCCAATACAGCTTCAGCACTTGTTGCTGCTGCAAAGGCCAAAGGCCTTGCTCCTGTGGGATCATAGTACAAGTGGGTAAGACTTTGGTTAACTCGTTGCAAAAGCCAAAGGCCAAAGGCCAAAGGCCTTGCTCTTGGCGGAACTCGAAGGGGGGCAAGCTTCGGCGGGTTTCAGATCTGAGCACGGAAGGTAGAAAATCAGAAAAAACAAAAAACAACGTAAAAAATGAGAAAAAATAGATGTGAGAACTGAGAATGTGAGCATCTGAGAGAGAGAGGTTGAAGGGGGGCGTTCTTAGAACGAAAGGTTGAAGGTTCAAGTGAGGTTGAAATTTGAGAGAGAGAGAGAGAGAGAGAGAGAGAGGAGTGAGCATCTGAGAGGGGATGACCTTTTGGGCGAAGTGGGTTAGCTCCGCATGAGAGTCTAATTCATGTGTGGGAGGACACACGGTGCGCTGTGAGTCCGTGGGATGTTTTCGGGGGGCCAACCTGTGGGGGGCGGATGCGAACCCACTGGGACATTGATCTGTGATCACCGATGGTTGAGCATTCTTTTGAATGGATAGTAGCAAAATGTAGTGCTAGAACTTGGCTAATGCATCAAGGTCCATGCATCTGGTTGATAAGTGTTCCATGCATATGGCCTGGTGGTGTAAGAGTTATCATCCTTTGTGCTCCATCATTGTATGTTTTTTTCCCCAAAATAAATAAATGATACTTAATAGTTTTACAGGGGAACATATTCTAATGAAGTTTTTTGACCTCTGTCTGCAAGTTCGTTCTATTTGCTTATAAATTCATCCCAATCATAATATTTCGTAGATATGGGGTAGATATCTCAGTTTCAGTGCCTATTTATTAGAACATAGTTTTTCATATTTTATGGGGTTGCATCTAAATGAGTATGTATGGAATTAGAAAATTATTAAATTGAAGCCTGTTCTATGAGAAACTTGACTTGCCTGTTGTAGCTATCTGAACTTGCGTTCTAGAACTTGGTGAGTTTTGTTGTTATCGCTAAATGTTATTGCAGATGGAAAGGGCTCTTTCCCACTTGTCATGGTTGGTGGTGTCCTCGAAGCTAACAAGAGTTGGGATATAGGGAAGGAAGTCATAAATTGTATCTTAAAGGACTATCCAGGAGCTCATCCAATTAGACCAAAGGTCAGCTTACTTCACTAATGTTGTGCTATTAGATTCATTAAATTCCATTTTTCTTTTTTTTTTTTTTTATTTTTTTGGGGGGGGGGTGTCAGTTGGAGGACACATGTATTGGTTTTCAGCCTTTGCTTCTGTTCTTGAGCATGCTGCCTTCTTTAGACAATTAAGTTTGAAACTAAAGCCGTAATGTTGTAACAATTGAAAAACATTTAGAAAGCAAACAGTTGTAATAGGAAAAATGGTGTTTTTTCTTCAATAGGAGAAGAGTTTTAACCCAACAACTAGCTTATATGGACTTGGATATGAGCTTCTTTCTGGGCCTTATTATTGACTTGGGCTAGACTATTAACTAACCAAGAAGCTGAACTAAAGGTCCAATATGATTTGTGTCTTTTGGGAAAGGGTGGGACTGAGCTGTGGGTTTGTACACAAGGTTCAAAGTATCGACACGTATCGGTGGCTTCCCGATATACCCCTACAGGGGTTGTATCGGGTCAGACCATGGTTCAGAGGGTAGCCTGGACTTAAACCGACCTCTCTGAACCGGTTTTGAAAAAAAATAAATAAAACATAAAAAAAAGCACCGATATAGGCCGATACGCCCTTGTTTGTACACTATAGACATTAATAATGAAAATGCTGGTTAGCTGTGCTTGCTCAGCAATGGGGGAGGCAAACAGTTATGAGAGTCATCCCAAAAGCACTAGAGCAAGGAATAGGGGTTTTAGAGGCAAAAGGCAAAGTATACGACTCATTGATTGTAGACTATGCATCTAGCCTCACCCTTAAAATGTACCTCACCTATGCATCTAGGAACCATTTAAAACACTAGCCTCACCCTTGTCTATCTGACACGCATTCCATGTAGACTACAAATTTTCTTGTACTAGACTTCCATAGTCTCATTCATTGGCCTAGCAAGAGTACATGGTAGGCCATAATGCCTACCCAATGCTCCACACAGTATAACTAGTTGTGTGGAAAGCAATGGCCTGTTATTGCTATTTCTTGCTGCTTTATCTGCCTAGTTCTTCTTTTCATGACAAAGTCATGTTCAGTGGGATGGGTTTGGTCACTGTATACAATTGGTCAGAGCTGCATGCCAATCTAAAATAGAGGAATCAAATGGGATAAAACAGTGAAAACTATCCTCTTGGCTCTCATGGATTAATTTGGAAGGAACTCTCTTACATGTTGCCAAATGCCTAGAATAGATAATCTGTCTTTCAATGAAGAATCCCTTACTAAGCAGTACAAGGCAGCAATTGTTATGGTTTTGTCATGTTTTTGCCTATTCGGTTCCATCATCTTGTTGTAATTTAGATGGATATTGATCATGGGATGTTGGAAGTGTGAAGAAAATGAGAGAACTGTATGGTGTATAACATACATCCAATGCAGCTGGATAATGGTTCCAGTCCTGTATTGCCATCATCTTGGCTGTTCAAGATAATGGTGTTATCCCAATGAAAACGAGTTCACATCTCCGGCCCCAGGAGATGTGAACTCATTTTCATTGGGATAACCATGATAAGATACCATGGTTATCTTATCATGGTTATCCAATGTGGCGGAGATGTTCCCAATACATGGCGGAGATGTGCTGTGGGTCGTTGTGGGGCGGAGATGTGAACTCAATGAAAACCAAGATACCTGCAAAAGCAGCCCTACTTTTTGCACATTAATGACTGTGCCAAGATGAAATGGGTTATAAATAAAATGATTTGAATCTTTCCCGGTCATTGAATTATTAATGTTGTGATGCATTTATTTTTTATTTTTCTTGTTACCATAAGGTCCGAATTAAACATGATTAATTTTACATTTTTTACAGGTGGAACCGGCAGTTGGGGCAGCATTACTTGCATGGAATTTCTTCATGAAAGAATCAGAAGATGGCCACAGGTACTGCTGAAACCTGATTTATCCCCATCAATTGTACATTACAAATAATAAGAAAAAGGGCAAAAAAAAAAAAGAAAAGGAAAGCCTGAGGCATAAAGGTTAAGGTTAAAATATGATTGTTTTTTATTACTCCTATAGATTATATGAGATTCCCTTTCTCAGACAATTGAGTTGCTTGTGTGCAAAAGATTTCTCATATACTTGGTTTCCTAGAGTGGTCGTTTCCTCTTTATATAATGTACTAGCTTTTCAGTTCAAGTCAATGTTTTCCAAGTTGTAGACATAACATTGGAAAAAGGAATAAAGATTAAAACCGTTGCATGCTGGGCGGAATTTCCAATCTAATTTCTTCCAACATTTTTCCGGACTACTTCGTAGATTAGACGCTGTGGTAAGAGCTATACTGATGGAACTAATTTTTATGGAGCCCGGCTTTTTTTTTTTTTTTTTTGGTTAATGCCAATTTAAATACAACCTTGTTGCCTGTGTTGGTTGGAACTTGGAGTGTAGACAGGCATTTTAGAGACAATATCTCAAATGGTGTTTCAGATCGACTGTCCTGAGGATTGAAGCTGACGAAAGTGGATCTCAGACTTGAGTTAATTCTTTTTGAAAGCAGTATCAAATTTATAATATAATAACAAATGTTCAAAATATAGCAAAGGATCTATGCGTATCCTATGATTAATTAATTGGACTACCAATAGATCGCCATACTGTAGAAGTATGTATAGGATGTTGAAATGGACAGACAAACCCTGTAAATTAATTCCTGGGTGTATATGAAATTATGAATAATAGGTCGGCGGGCTCTCTACCCCAAATTTGCCCATCGTATAGCTCTGAGGTATTCCCAAATCCCAAAGATAATCCATTCACCTTTATCAATATGAGTTTCTTTCTATGTATAACTCTAGACTCTTTTTACACCCGCAATTAAGAAAAATGATTTGTAAGAGTAAGAAAAAAGGCAGCTACAGATTAAACTAAATAATTTACTTAGTTTACCAAAAAGAACTTTCATCTTTATAAAATGGTGTTGGAAATTGAGAGAGAGAGAGAGAGAGAGAGAGGAATTAAAGAAGAAACAGTTGTGTTTGAATAAAATTAATTGACCATTTTTTAGGAAGGGAAGCATAAGATGCCACGTGTGTGAAAGTTTACTTTTTCTTTGAAAGTGGAGTTTACCCACTCACTTTTTTGAGAGTGGATATACCTCAGTTTGAGAATGGAATCAACCGCTTTTGAGATTCCTTTTATTGATAAAAATAAGATGTTACTTGTTTGGGAGAGAAGCTCTCTTGCCCAAGGCCTTTGCTGTATATATTAATCAGCTTATATGCCTATAGAATTAGGTATAAAATTAGGCTTGTATCACTTGATACATTGAGTGTCCATAATGGGTGGAATGGGAATGCATTTCAGTTGTTCCATTGATGTTGTGTACCAAAAGCAACTCAAAAAACTTGTGTGTCGACACAATTTCATGTATAAATCTAAATACAAGAAAAATGAAGATAAATTAAAAAATTATTATTTTTTTTATATTTATGAAATAAATGGGATATAAATTCTTTGTATTTGAAACCTCTTACAATAGAAATAGAACCTCTGATTTTCTCTTAACAGTTTTTTTGCAACTTGATGGTTTGGATTTGTGTTGAAGATGAGGGTAGGACAACGTGCTCTTGTACTTTAGACAATATTAGAGATTACTTCCTTCAAATGGGCTTGGAAAGAAAAGAGATAGAACATTTGACTTTCTCTTGATAGTGCTTTTTGTAACTTGATGATTTAGATTTATATTGAAGTTGAGGATTGAATGATGTATTCCAATACTTCAGACAAAGTGGAGATTACTTCCTTCAATTGGGCTTAGAAAGCTTGATCAAAAGAATGATTGTGCTAGACTTCAAAAGTGTTGTACTTTGCTCTTTAGACGATGGTGTTGAAGGAAGGGTTAGGATCCATCATATGGATGGCTGGGTAAATTTTTAAAAATTTCCTAATCTTTTTATGAATCGAATTTCCTATGTTTTGAAAAACTGCATTTTTCAGGATCGGTTTTGCACTGAACTGGGCTTGATTTGAAATCAAACAAAGATGGAGATGTATACTTGATACAGATACTACAAATGAAAGAAGAGAGCAGAATTGAGAGGTGTTCTTGATCAGTTCGCCCTCTTATTCTTTTATCTCATTATGAAGTACTTATCCTAATCAAATTAGGAGATTATCCGAATCTAATTTGGATTTGAATTCTATCAAGAGATATGCCTTATCCTCTTAAGAGGATAGGTGTTCCATACCCATTTCTATCCCCAAATTCGCCCATGTCACATGACAACTTAAACTGTCATGTGATAGCTTAATTAATCATATTAGTTATGGGCTTTACGCCCATCAACTATAAGGTTCACGACCCAAGGGTGTTGCATGGCCAATTTAGACTTGATTTGTATGGTGTGAGACCCCATAATGACCTCACATAAGTCCACATGGGTTTGACCCAACTTCTGTGAAAAGGCTTGGCCAAATTCACTAGTAAACGTAGTAAATCCCTGAGCACACCACTATTGGCTCAAAACGGGCCCAACATTTACACTTAAATGATCATTGAATTTAGCCATCCTATGAAGATCCAAGGATAATGGACTTAAGTAAGATAAAACCCATTAGGTAATCAGGCATGTAATGATCTCTTACACTTAACATTTCGGCCCATATGATATTTATATATTATATAAATATATTTTGCAAAACCAAATCTCAAACACAGTTGAAATCTACTACTGGTAGTTTAGGTTTCCATCAAAGAGAGTGTAAGTCCTATCATTCACTTTGTTTGATAAAAGAGACGACCCTATCTGATCACCCACTTAAGTGAATTCCCAAACTACCCCAACATATCTAGGTTTTGACCCTCAATGGATCTCACTGATTGGCATATCAAAGACAGCC